TATATATATATATATATATATATATATATATATATATATATATATAGAGAGAGAGAGAGAGAGAGAGAGAGAGAGAGAGAGGGAGATTCCATTATTATCATTATATATATATGAATAAATACAAAAAGAAAACTTTTCTCACCCGCCACGTTTCGTCCTCCGATGGACATTATCATTTGCCAACAAGGGTTTTACAAATAGAAGTAAATAAAAAAAAAACGTCGTTAGTTTTTCAGCAGTTTTAAATTTAAAGACGCTCATAAATGTTTATCAGGCTAACTGAAAGTCAACGTTTAAACGTTTTTAAATTAAAAAATTCTGAAAAACTTACCATATTTTTATTCTGTTTATAAATCCTTGTTTCTTTTGACTTTGTTCATATTGTCTTTTTACAGATATATTTTTAGTTATATCTGGATGTTTGCATATATATATATATTATTCATTTCATCTCAAGGCGATAATTCCACTAAGATGCAAAGTGTTACTGGGAATGAAAGAGAATGAGAAGACTTTAGGGAGAGGAACTGGAAATCCATCCTAAACATGAAACGAGGGATAAACCTTTACTCCTGTGCAAAAGATGGAGAATGACTGTGAACTGGGCAATAGGCGAAACTATAATAGACGTGGGTTATGTGGATGTTGTACAAACACGAATATTCCTGAGCATGCGTCTGCAACACGGATTGACTAGCCACTCGAGTTGACGGGTGTGTTCGAAAGTATCCGGCCATTATATATATATATATATATATATATATATATATATATATATATATATATATATATAAATATATATATATATATATATATATATATATATATATATATATATATATATATATAATATTATATATTAAAATTTTGTTTGTTTTTTCTGTATATTTTTTCATATATTAAAATTTTTGTTTATTCATATATTTTCTTCATACTATATATATATATATATATATATATATATATATATATATATATATATATATATATATATATATATATATATATATATGTTTGTCAGAGAGTGATCTGACCATAATCACTTGAGCATGTTCCTAGGTGCTGACACACTCTGCATCTATGTTCATGAGCGGGGAGAGCACCGTAGTTCGGCGTCGAAAGGATTGTTTTTAAGTTTGAAAGATGATGCACCCAGAGCAATTTGGGAACCATTTCAAGACACTTGGGATTACCCTTAATCGAAGAACGTATTAGCGACCTGGGTTAGTCAACCTGAAGGTAATTCTACCTGGGACCAACCTGCAAGATTATCTTGTTTTTATCAATACTTGTCACCATATTGTGCACATTAGGTAGTGGTGCATGTGCCTGGTACACACTTAGATTGGTGGACATGATGGGTGCATTAAGCTTTTTATATTTGAACCTCTGCGTCACTTTTTCGCTGTGCTGCTTTCTCAATGTTGCATTTAACGTTCTTTTTACTTAGTCCCCCATTTCATAGTCAGAGCCCAAATTCTTCTTCTATGTGCCGTGTCCCTTCAGGGCGTTGGTATCCATGGCTCGCCACAATTTCATGTCCTTTGTGACCCTTAATAAATTTTATCTTTTTGTTATCTCTCCTAAACCCTTGGTAGGTTATGCGTTGTTTTCTTCATTTTGCCTTAATCTGTCCTAAGAGTATCACATTTTCAAAGCCCTCTTCCCTCATTATATACCCTAGAAATGTCAGCGGTTTCTTACTGATGTTACATATAAATGTCCCTTTTGTTTCAATTTTTCTAAAACTTTGTCGTTGTTCACATGTTCAGTTCATGGTATTCCCAGCATCCGTCTGTAGAATAACATTTATTCAAGTTTTTTTTTTTATCTGTGAAGGGTTTGTCAAGTTTTTTTTTATCTGTGAAGGGTTTGTCCAGCAATCACTGTCATAAAGGAGGACTGATATTGCATAACAGTTTAGTGCTCTTTTCTTTTTTTCTAACGGGATTTTCTTGATTCTTAATACTTTGCTTAACATTTCTTTGGAGGACATCTTCTGCTATTCTAATGCGCCTTCGGATTTCGGTGTCGCACTTTCCGTCCTAGATATTTAAATTGTTATACTTTGTTGATCTTGGTATCTCCAAGATGCATGTTGGGCTCTTCTTTTTTGTTAACAACCATGCATTCTGCCTTGTAATTGATATTTAGTCCTTTATTCTGTCTTGTCTTTATTACCTTCTGTAGTAGGTCTGCTATCAACAGAGTCATCTGCATATTTTGTTGTAAAGATCGTGGCCGCCAATAATGAATCCTGGTAAGGCTTGTAATTCTCTCAGAATCGCCTCATTGTATCGGTTGAATCTGATGAGAAGATACATCATTGTTTTACACTGTAAACAGATTTAACGAAAATATGCCCAACAAAGCTAACTTAAACTGTGATTTGTGTTATCTTTCTTTTTCCTGACCACTTTAAAACTCAACTTTTTTATAAATTTAAATTTCGTTTTAATTTGTTTTTATCTTCTTTTAGCAGGAATCGTGTGCCTGTAGATGGAGTCCCAAGTTGAAAGAAACAAGGTTATCGGCGCAGAAATCAATGCTGTCGAAAGAATTGATGATGAAAATAAACCAAAAGGAAAAGTGATGAATCGCGGAAAATGGGGAGGCAAAATGGAGTTTATACTCACATGTATCGGCTATGCTGTCGGTTTGGGCAACGTGTGGCGATTTCCCTATTTGGTCTTCAAAAATGGTGGCGGTAAGAAATTGTCTTTGTAAATGAGGATTCTCGTGAGTGATTCAAGTTACAACTGTTTTTGTTTTGTTTTTTAGGAGTAGGTTATTTTAAGTGCTTATCACTAACACAGAATTGTTTTGGAATATTTCAGTATTGATAAAAACAAGACATAATCTTGCATAGCCTCTTTGTACCTTCGAATGTTCTTATAGCATCTTCAATTTGTGCAAACCTCACGATGTACGTTCACGTATTGATGTTCATATAAATTGATTGTATTATTGAACTTAATTATGCCTTAAATATAACACATGGAAACATGGTCGAATGACGCAATAATATTGTTAATTCTGTATAAATCAGAGGAGTTCTTATAGCAATGGCGTGACTGAAAAGTTTTATGTTAAAATTCTATCACTTTCTAGATCTATTTGTTCACATTTCTTTTTTATAGATTAGAAATTTTAACTAAAATTTAGAAAGGAAAGTCTCATTATTTATCGAATTATTTGTTGATGATGTTTTATTTAGTATTGTGTGTGTGTGTGTGTGTGTGTGTGTGTGTGTGTGTGTGTGTGTGTGTGTGTGTGTTTATGAATACTCGTCTTAATAATTCGTAAAATTATAATTTTTTTAAAAATCTAATTGAAAATGCGAAGCATTACAACTGCATGCTTCGTTTTTTATTGTAATTCAATTTTTCCTGGTAAGAGATATACAAAATGATCTTCAAAATGAATAAAATTAACTTCCTTTTATATATTTTTCGTCTTTATTTTTTCGATAATTAAATTTTTATGAAAATTTTCCATTCGAAAATTGATATTCATATTTGTAGGATATTCTGTCATCCAAGATTTTTATATTAATAATCCGAACTCCGAATTCCAAATAAAAATAAAGAAAACATGGTCTCATGCCTATTAAATAAATCATTTATATTTGCAAATTTGTAGATGAATTTAAAAGAGTAAAAAATGAGTAAAATTAGTCTTTAGTTGAGTTAAAGTCTTTGGGTTACAGAAAATATGTAGTTTAGGATAGACTTTTAGTAGTTGGTCCAAAGTAAAAAGCTTTGGTTGCGAAAAAAAATTTTTAAATAGATTGTTCACATAAAACAAATCTGTGATTGTGATCACTCCAAAATAAATTGTATCCCAAATGTGCAATGGAGTCACAGCCAATTTGACGCGCCTCTTGCATACAGCCAACATCAAGATTTGCTTTCTTGCATTCTTCTAAAAGGAAAGTGCACACAGAAATAGTAGTAAGAAAAGAAAAATGCGACAATAATGTATACGGTTGTTCTGTAATTAGATATATACTTACTAGCATCGGAGATTATATTAATTTCCCAATTACAGAATGAATAAACCAGAACTGCAACTGAAATATTATAAAACATTCGATAAACCAGATTTCACAACTTATACAATAGTGGCATCAAAGGATTCCCTTTCTGTGTCAACCGAACTTTAAGAATATGAGTGTCGTCATCTGGATGAGTGTAGATTGCGTTATCTGCACAAAAATTTCCAGCTTCTTTTTTCTTCTCTTTTTTTTTTTTGTGGGGGCGGTGTTTTTTTTTTTTTACTTAGTTACTTACTTAAAACGACTTTCTACTGTGAAATCCGTTTAAACCGGTTCTCATATGATCACCGATGCTAAGCAACGTCGAGTCTGATCAGTACCTAGATAAATGACCGCTTAGAAATACCAAATGCTGTAAGCTTAGATGTACAGGTGGTGTAATTGATAACAGCTTGGAATTGGAGATCGAAAAGCCGAGTTCTAATTCCAGTTGGGTTCGTTATATTCACTTACGCGCAAATACTCTTGGGAAAAGTAGGAATCAACCTATTCTCCCACAGCTATGGGTTAATTAGTAGGACATATATCAGTAAATCATTGTTATCCCCAAAACCTCTTACAATCTGAAAATATTTTATTGCCTTAAATAATTTGCAAAAGGTTGATAAACCGTAAAAAACAAATCAAACAATCTTAAAACTGTTTTTTGTGTCCACTCAAGTCCACTAAATACTATCACTCGTTTTCGTGCTCATAAGAGTTTTCTTTAAAACATTTTGTTTAAGATAATGTGAAAAGTCAACATTTTGATCATATTATTTTTCCGCAAATGGTTGATAACCCGTAAAAAACAAATCGATAAATCAATCAATAATGTGTACTTAGTCTCTAATTGGCACTGAAAACTATTACACATACTTAAAAAAAAGAAATATCAAGAATAAAACCTTTTTTTTTTAGAATTTGTCATTGTGTAATTTTTTCATGACATTATTATCATTCCATGTGTAACGCATCCTCATTCATGTATATCTCTATCTACACAGGTGCGTTTCTCATCCCTTACTGGACAATGCAACTGTTTGTTGGAATGCCGCTGTTTTTTATGGAATTATCTTTTGGTCAATTCGCAAGCCTGGGTCCGATTACTATTTGGAAGGTCAGCCCTCTTATGAAAGGTAAGGTTGAACATTTGTTAGCGACCTAAGTATAGGAACTAACATACAACTGTTGTTACGAATTTATAAGCCTATCAAAGTTCCACATCCCTAACAGAAATAGGTTATGTCTCACGAGTGCTTGTAAATTGATATACCTTTTAGATAAAATAAATTATCTTAATAAAATACAGTAAAATAATTCTCCAACACGGTTGAATGATATTAATGATACGGGAAAATTAATGAACTTTAAAAATTTCTGCCTATACAAGTTACAGACACTCAATGATGCAGTCTACATCTTGAAATAGAAAAAAGTACCAAATAGAGTATGGTGATGAGATGTAGGCGGTGACCTACTAGTGCGAGATGAGCAAAGCCCCAAAGAGGTTTGAACAGGAAGTAGAATAGAAAAGTTTGATTTTATGGTATAGAACCGAGAAAAAAAACATCAGAGGTTTGATTATATTTTAATGATTAAATGTGAAAAATAACTAATTAAAAAATGAGTTACGGTTTTCTTAAGGAATCGAACCCGACTATAAACTTGGAAAACTTAGTATAACTTGGTAAGACCCTGTATCCACCTGGTATATTCACCAAGTCGGGCCAAAATGATGACAAGTAATAATGTTACTTCCGAGGCCGAAATAAATAAAAAAAAAATATGGTCCGGTGTTCTTGCTATTTACCTTGAGCTCATTGAAAAAATCCAAAGAAGAATCAACAGTATTATTGGTCTTGATCTAGAGGCTCGTAAGGTTGCCTCTGTGTCTTTTATACTTTCATCGTAATTATTCGGATGAGCTCTTCGCTATGGTTTCAGTGAAGTTTCAGATTCAGTGAAGCCGATTTGAAATCCACAACATCGGATGAGAGCGATATTTTTAGTTTTGTATAGCGCTCTCCGATTGTTTATTTATTACTCTTTGAGGATATATGTTTGTAGCTCACAACAGCCTATGTAAAATGTATGTGTCAAAAATATTATACATATTTAATTTTGAGACCCTAGGCTTCAATCTATCAAGCCTATCGGTAAATCCAACATGATAGTAGTTATAGTTATCATATTTAATTGATTAAATACAATCAACTCCCATTTTTACTTTATTAAAGAAAATGTTTCGAAACGAGGAAAAGTAAAGTTAAAATAACAATCAATCAAGGCTGACCGCATTTGGGATCATACAGTCCTTGTATAATCCGTGATCCATACATTAATCGCATTGTATGTGCTTCGCCAGGGATACATACAGTTCTGAATCCAGAGATGCCCTTCTCATAGACAGGTTGCCACCCTAGACTGAAGAGCCCAATCTTTTTTACTATTTAACATAGGGAATTCGTAGATTCATACCTTTCCCAAGGGTATTTGCGCGAAAGGGAATGTAACAAAACTCGAACTCAGTTCTCTGATGTCGCTTTCCGAGCCGCTATCCATTACACCACCTACACATCCTAAAGTTAAAATGACATGGCTAAAAAAGTCTTTATGCCTTTTATTTCAAATAAGTGTGCATTCTTTAACGATACATCAGTAAAAAGCTGACACTTAAGTTCAAATGAAGGCAAGATTTCGACTTATGTCTTATTTGACAGGCCTGACGTCAATAACGATGAAAGCATCATACTCTGGCGCCAACTAGATTTAGTTCAGACAAGCAAATATATTCAGGACCAGACAGAAAGAAATTAATGAAAAAACAATTAATTATGAATATAGGAGCTATCCCAAGCCAAATAACGTTGCTTTGTTATATATCTTGGAATAACAATGGCATTTGGATGAAAACAGGATGTTGTAGAAGGCGTATTTCTAAAATCTACGATAGTCACACTTTATAATCAAAGTTGCACAAAATCACGTTATTTAGTATTGAGACTTTTTTTTCTATATTTGAGTCTGAAACTATTGTTTATATTTTTCCAGTGTTCAGATTTAAAAAAAAATGTTCTGTGATCTATAACGTGTTCCAAAAAAGAGATATCTTTCGCCAGACCCCACTTAGGACATACTTCTAGTATTCATTCATATATATATATATATATATATATATATATATATATATATATATATACTAAAAATGAAGAAGCGTCAAGATGTATAAAATGTCTGAAAAGATACACTGTAAAGCATATATTGAATGAATTTGTTGACGCCAAACTAGAAAAATATTAAAGTATAACAAACTAAAAAGCTTTTTAACAATGTCAAACCAAGTAGCCTTTTACAATTTTTAAAATAAATTTAGGTTTTGAGATCTATATGTACATAATTTTGATAAATACATAGAATACATTTTATATATACCATATCTGCTTTCGCGTAAGATACATTTTTTTTATTTTTAAATGTCCTAAAAATCTATTAATTCACATTGATTGTACTTTACTGATTGCTTTATATCAGTTTGTTTTGTTTGTACCAGTATTCATTAATACAAATGTACCAGTATTTCTTTTCTGCTTTTGCAAATTTAATCTAGTTTCCTTTGAAGGTTAAAGTCACAATATATGATTTTATACTTTATTCCAATAGACTGTTAGAGTATTGTATTTGCTGGCGCAAAATCATATATTTTGCCCTACAAAACCACTTTAAAAATATATATCAATAAAAGATGAAATATACTCATTTTTTCCACAAAATATCGTTGTAAAAGGGACGTCTTATGTGAAGGTGCGAGTTATGTGCAGGAAAATACGGTACATAGAAAAATAAAAAATCTACATGTTTATCAAAATTTTTAAAAGAAAACATTAGAAATTTTTATCTAAAAAAAACGAAATCTTTCAATTTTAACTTTAAGTAAAAAATAAAACAAAGTTTTAATGTTGATATTTTTATACAAAAAATCAGGAAAATTTTTAACAAATATAATTTTTAACATATATCTTCCTTAACCCACAAAGAGAGGATACGCCCTAAAACAAATCAATCTTGTGTCCCATATTCAAAATATAGACATGTAGAGGTAAAGGAAAAGAAAAGAGAAAAACATGAAGATACTGTGACACGATCAATATTACGTTGTCAACAATTTTTACTTGTTTTTGTCAAGTAAACTGCACGTTATCGTGTGCACTTCGATGAAAACCTCTCTCTTCCACTATCACAAATCATGTAAACCATTAGGGCCATAGAGCACCACAAGTACTGCAGTTAAAGCAGTAATGGATGTGCCTAGGTCAAGATAGCCTTCTTTAGGCTCGTTTTGAATTTCGTTTTCCTTCTCTAAGGAACAAAATGACAGTCTGCATCACTATTTAAAACATAGCTGGAGTAAGATGCATTCATGTTTTTCCAGCGAAACAGATTCCGTTATAATTTGAACTCGGAACGATGATTCCACTTTTATCTCCAATAACAGTTACTCACATCTTTCTATCATGTTTTGCTTTTACAGATGTAGTATTTTCACTGCAACATTATTTGTACAGTTCCAATATTCCTTCTCCTAAACAGGTTGACAACAAAAGCTAGAGATCCAAGTTCGTCCTGCTATTTAATTCCTACTTGTAGAGACAATAGATAGATTCATACCTTTCTAAAGAATATTTATGCGAAAATGAGTAACAAACTCGACTCGCTGAATTCTCGTTCCGAATCACTAACCATTACGCTAGCTGCAAAGCTTTTTTTTAGTAAGCTTAAATTAAGTTGGCCCAATCGCCATAAATACGAAGACGTAACAAACTTCATTATAGAATTAATAGCCTTTAGATTTGGTGCCAAACTATGAAAAGTACCTGATGAAAATCGGAAAGTAAAACGGTCGAAACGTTTTAAAAATAACACCTAATGTGAGCACAATATTTCGTATGCAAATAATGAGACAAACTTTGTAAATATTTACAAAGTTTGACTTTGGTGAGTACAAAGATAGAGGATATAACTCACTGCAGTTTGTTATCCATTGCTGCACGGCAAACTGCCTATATATTTATTGAATAAGCTTAGCATCAACTGACAATAATCCACAGTTGTTTGGCATCCAACGAGGAAGGAATTGCTGCACTACAACCAACGCCCATCTTTTCCATCTTTCTCTGTCTCTCTGTCTCTGTCTCTGTCTCTGTCTCTGTCTCTGTCTCTGTCTCTCTCTCTCTCTCTCTCTCTCTCTTTCACTCTTTATCTATCTATCTATCTATCTATCTATCTATCTATCTGACTTGCCCGACCATTATTCAACGTTTAAAATGTATCATGAATTGATTAACGAAAAAAAAAAAAGAACTGTTATTTTCCATTATGTTTCATGTTATTGTCCAAGAGGAAAAGTTTAACTTTTATGTCGTTCGCAGGCGTCGGTTACTGCATGGTAATCAGCACGGCGCTCATCACACTGTATTATAACGTCATCATCGCCTATTGCTTCTACTACCTTTTTGCCTCGATGACATCAGTCCTGCCTTTTTCCCACTGCAATCATAGCTGGAGTTCATCCCGTTGTTCGACAAGCACAGGTAAGTTTTCATTGGTTCATTGAAGACCAATCATGTATTTGTATGTTCCAAGCACATTTTTTGTGAATTAACAAAGGACCACTTTTTTGCCTTTGCTTCTACGATAGTTTTATTGATAATTAGGAATCAGATTGCCCGTTTTTACTTACCCTTATATATTAGATCAATAAATAAATAACCCATTTTCCCTAGCATGTTTCTTACTACAATAATTCCTGTTAAATTTCCAACAATTACAAGGAAATCTTGTATAGGCAGGCATTCAAGTTTGTATCTGTGGCGTTGTGCCTTGGATCAGCACTTGGCTGGGTTTCTCGTTTTTAGTTGATCGCTGTGGGTGAATGTAGAAAAGTAGCACGATCGAAAAACGATCCTGCTGTTGAGAAAATCACATACAATGAAAAACAGTTGAAGAACTCATTCTGGTTTATCCATGTGCGAATTGAAGAAATTGAGACTGGACGACTGCTATTAGGCTTTGGGAAAATGTGGAAAGCGAAGGGTATCAAATCGGGTTCCTTCCTCGTAGCACTGACCCGAGGTGCCTGACATTCACTGACCAAGCAGCTAGTACTACTGTCATTTGAAATTTGTAAAAATATTTTCTCTTAAAACAATTTTTCAGGAAAATTGGTTTCTCAAGTCTAGTAGCTGTCATCGCTCTTGCTAGCATTGATGAAGTTTTCCTTCCTAACCTTTTATCTGATGTAGTGTGGAACGTCAGCCTCTTAATTATGTCATTATTTTCTCTTTGAGTTACATGTGATATCTATTTTAGCGTGTAAATTTATCAGAGACCTGCCCAAAAAGTCACACAAAAAGTGGACCAGCCTATATCAAAATTGCAGGCACCAGAAAAAATGTTGCCAAAAATAATATCTAAAACATGATTTAAAATTTGCGGATGTAGTAGAAAACAGATCACCGGGTATCAGAAGTAAGTCAATTCAAAAATACTAGCTCTACACAATTATCTAGAGATCAAAAGTTTCAACAGCAACTGAAGCAATAGAGTAACGTCTATTAATTCAATACGATTATATTTTCCATTCTTCTGCAAATTGTAAATTTACTAAAATAGATTAACCTTCTCTGTATCATATCTACGAATGTTTCAAATAAGACTGTTTTCTATTAATTGATGCATCCACAAAAATCAACTTACACGGCTTTATATACAAAGGTTTTCTTGTAAATATGTAACTAAGTTGTAGTTTTAAATTTTATCCAAATTTTTTAAAGTTTATTTACTATATTAATTGTGACTATGACTAATTACCAATACGTTAAGCATCTCAAATAGTCGTGACTGACTGCCTTATGCTGGTCGTTTTTTTTATAACTTCACTCCAAGCAAGGAGATAATGAATGCAAAGGCGACTGGTAGTGAAAAGGAATGAAAAAGATTTTAGAAGAAAACGGAAACCCAATCCTAAACTGGAATCAAGGGATAAACCTCTACTCTTATTCAAAAACCGAGTGTGAACCGGGGCATAGGTGAATCTATCTATTTCTATTGATGAAAAAGAAAATAAGTAAATAGTATAAATACAATATCAAAGTGTTGGCGAAGATGTTAGAAGTATAGATTTGAAATAGATTTTAGAAGGAACCAGAAAGCCAATCCTAAAACAGAAAACAATGGTTAAACCTCTACACCTGTTAAAAAGACCAGGTATGAGTGTGAATCGGACGATAGACGAACCTATCTACTCCTATTGAGAAATAAATAAATAGTAAATAAAATATCAGAGTTTTACTGCTTTTTAGATCTTTTTTTTAGACATTAACGGGCTTTTTCAAACCCATAGTAGAGTAATAGTTGATATGTTAATCTTGTAATTCAATGTTTGGTAGTTCGTTCCTCACCAGAAGTTCTGTAGCTTCGTGTTAAGGTTGACTTCTTTCAACAAACATTAATAAACGTCAGTCACATGAACGCTGTGCCACATTTTATTTACCTAATAATCATGGTGATTTTTTCAGAGTCTTTTCATTGACTTGAAGAAGTCATACACTAATTCATTCAATATATTTGCGTTTTATCTTAGGTTTATGATTTAAGCGTTCCTTGTTCGAGTCTTCATTTATTTTATTCGGTTTGTTAAAAAAAGAAAACAATTCAGCTATTCCTCACTTAACGACCAAATTCTCTTTCAACAACCTGATCGCTAAACGAATTATCAGCTTCTCCGAGAAATCATTCCTCATTATGAGTCCTAGACATTTCAACTTTCTCTTTCTGTTTTAAGTATAATAAATATGTTTCTTGCTTCCATTATCCTTAAAACTTCCTCATTGCTTATATCTTTAGCCTATGGTATTCGCAGCATCTTTCTGTAGAACCACATCTGTGTATTTCAAATCTCCTCTTCACTTGTGAGGAAATTGTCCAGCATTCACTGCCATTCACGATGTTTGATATTCATTATTTTCTTTATATATAAACATATTTTCATGTTTCTTAATATTTTGTTTGGCTTTTGGGAGATGTTTTTTTTATTATTCCAATTTATCTTTGTATTTTAGTGTCACTTTTTCCATCATCTTTTAAAACACTTCCCAGGTTTGTAATTCCTGTACTTGTTTGATTTTGACGTCTTCTATTCTTCACTCTTATCTCGGGCCATTCCTCCTGTTGACAACCATATATTCTGTATTCTTACAATCGATGGTTAGTTTTTTCTTTTACCTTTCTTGTACTACCTTGTCTAGGAGTTCTTTCATCTGTCTGACATTATTAAAAATGCATTTCTATCAAAGCCGAAAATTTTCAAATTCCAAAAGGTATCCAATCCTAAAGAGATTTAATACTGTACTAAATATTTGCAGTTTTCTGCAGTGGGGCGATCATTATTGAAATAGTCTTGTCAACCATTGTAATTTATAATGAATACGATCTTCACTGAGTGATTCCTAGCTTAGTATATATATTCTGAATATTAGAATTTATTTCTTGATGTTGATTTAATTAAAACCAGTTCTATCTCAAGTGCGGATGTTATACGTCCTTATTAACTTCTGCGCTCACATCATTATATTTTTTGTATGCCTTGGAAACGAGTAAGTATTTCGCAATATAAAGCTGGTCAGCTGTTTATCAGAAAATGAATCCTTATTGAACGTTCTAAAACGGAAGTTTAGCTTGTATTTTTTATTTTATTTAATGTAATATTCATTTTTACTTTCTCCCTTCTCCAGCATCGGATAATAGCACTACAAATACAAGTCTGTCCAACATGACTACAGTCGCTTCTTTTGTCACAACCAATTTAACAACTCCAGCCACTGATTTCTTGACGACAACAAAAGAGACTACGGTTAACATGACTATAACGCCGAGTGAAGATTTCTTCATGTAAGTTTTTCGATTCTTTTGAAGCAATATTTATTGATTTTAAAATCACTTTCTCTCTTTTCTTGTCTCTCTTTCTTTCTCTTTATATATATATATATATATATATATATATATATATATATATATATATACCCCGTCTGATGATTGTGAGGCATCCGCATAAATATCAGGTGTCCACATGAAACTTTAAGTCGAAGAAAGGCCGTAATATCTCACTATTGTTTTTCTTATATATATATATCTATATAATAAATGCAAATTTCAGTGTGTCACTGTGTCACACTTTTTTAACTTTACTCTTAGATGCCGTAAACGAAAATATCATACCATTTTGGAATCAGGCCGACTCTGTGAGCAAATTAAAAATATTCCGGGCCGTATCCTGAATCCTGAAATTTTGGATTCCCAAATTTCCATTACTGCGATTATTTTTTTTTTTTTGCGACGATTTTTTTTTTTTTTGTACGATAACAATTTTTATAACTTGGAAATAAATTTACGAGTAACGAAATTAATTCAGAAATCCTGCGAAAGTCATCCATGAAATAAAAATAATTGTTTGTACGAAAAGTATGGACCTATGTACATCAAAATTGTCTTTAAATTAAGTGGCGGCAGAAGAATTATCGTTGTACTTTAAAAAGGTAAACTTAAATATTAATGCAATACTTAAATGCAGCAATCAGTTTTGAGTTCTTCTGTAGTATATTGTTGCCTATAGCATCAACTCCTCCCTACCTATTGTAATGAAGGCCCAATCAAGAGCCCTCCGCAGAAGCTAGCTTCAATGCTGCCCAATAGGGCAACGTTTATATATATATATATATATATATATATATATATATATATATATATATATATATATATATATATATATATTTAAACTTTTTTATAAGGTCTACGTGTTATTTTTACTTCTTAATTTATTTTTCACACGAGTATTGAGCACTTTTTTAATACTGTTGTTTCCTGGTCTGATTCAACTCTGACCATTAACCTTTTATGTATTGTATATATATATATATATATATATATATATATATATATATATATATATATATATATTGAAAAATAGTTTTGTTGTCTCATTTAATGTATACGCATGCACATGCACACACACACAACCAAACAATGTTATTATGTTTTAAATAAAACATTGGAATAATACATTTCTCTCCTACTCTGGATAGTGGTTATCTAGATTTAAATTTACTTTTAAAAATTAGGAAAATTCCTCATTAGTAAAAAGAACATCGGTAGTATGCAGTTATCCTTGGCGTAGACACAGTTATATAATCCGACATTGGTAAATAAGAACAATCTAAGAATATTTTTTTTAAAGGGATCGATTTGGTACTGTATTTATATTATAAAAAGAAACCTACTTCTAAAATAATAAAATAATTGTTATTTTACAATCTTCGAATTAATGCTAATCAATAAAATTTAATCCCAAAATAATTCCGTATTTTTCCCTTAGTAGACCGACCATTTTATTCGTTGATCTTGTGTTTTTCTCCCGTTATTAAACCCACTATTTTTATTTTATTTCATTCTTTTCTATATCTATAACAGTTATACAGTGTAACCCGGATATAAGAGAGTTGTCGGGACCGGAGAAGAAGTATCTTATATCCGGGTTTCTCTTATATCCGGGTTGGGTCTATTTCGTATACATTAACACGGGCTCTAATTTGGGACCAGAGAAAATCTCTCTTATATCCGGGTTTCTCTTATATCCAGGTCTCTTATATCCGGGTTACACTGTACAATCATTCAAAAACATAATCTTTACTTTATATGACACATCGACAGTGACTGATAATTGGCTTCCTTAGACTCAGATTATCTGACACGAAGCAACGTTTGTAAAACAGCAAATGAGACTTCATAGCAGACTTTGCTCATGTGAGAAAATAAAAATAATTTATTAGCATTTGTTTCTTCTTTGAACAGAAATTTCGTGCTGAAACAAAGTTCAGGCATTGATGAAGTGGGCGAATTCCAGTGGAAAATAGTGCTTTACCTTCTACTAGCCTGGACAGTTGTCTTCTTTGTTCTCATCAAAGGAATCAAAACTCTCGGAAAGGTGAGACTTTACCGAACTAGGTTTTCTAACAGTATAACATGCTATGTATTTGCGCATGCGTAAATTATTATGTAAGAATAATGGAAAAAGAGTGGGAGATAAATTGTTATAAACAATTATGTAAGCGAAAATTCATTTGAATATTAAATAAAAATAACGAGAGCTTTAGTGATATTCTGCTATTATTGGTTTAAGCTGAGAAGAAAATTGCTAGTTACAAATACATATTGCATTATATAAACAATAAACTAATGATGATTGTCTTAAGTTGTCGCAATTTTTAGATTAATTATTTTATTTATTCTTTGGTAGTATTTTTTTGTTGATTTTTTTTTATCACAACTCTGTACTCTACAGCCTTAATGTCTGTAAAGTAGAGTAAGCATCGTGAATTGGTAACAAAGAAATAGTTTCCGACAAGACTTGAACTCGTATTTCAAATCCTGGGAGTCCGCCAGACATGGCCGTCGTCTATAACAATTTGGTCAGAGGTTTGTGCCAGGTGTAAAGTAATTTTCTGACTCATAGTGTGTTTACGGTTCACAAACACACAAAGAAAGATTAGGTCTGCTTCATTAGAGTGGAAATTTGCAAAGGCGAGGCCAAGTTTTTCTCCTTTGACATAGTATGGAAGTATAAGAGATGATCTAGGTGAAAGTACGATAAAAGTTTGTAATTGTTTTGTTTTTTTATCTTAATTTCATGTCCGGGTTCAGGTTAACAGAGTCATACACTCACGTCCGATCCTAGCAAATGCACGTGGTAAAAAGATAAATAAGAGGGTGTGCATCGTTTTGTAATTCTAGGATGGAAACCAACTTTCCATTCCTCATTTTTTAATTAATTTATTAATCTATTTTACCATCTTGGGAAAAAAGTTTATTTTTTTTATATATATATATATATATATATGTGTGTGTGTGTGTGTGTGTGTGTGTGTGTGTGTGTGTGTGTGTGTGTGGTCAGCAACCTTTCTTTCAAATATGCTTCGTTGAATACGACACACAAGGAAAATTTTTTTTATGTAGCTTTTCTAGTATTCTTAGAAAAAGAATAAGGAAAATTCTGGTTGGTAACATGATCCGCCTTCATAGATCCCGTAACCGAAGGCATCTCGATCTGAGAGATGCACTCTACATAAAACATATGGAACCCAGCTTAATCTCACCTTATTTAACAATGGAAATAATGTGTTAAAAGTTTGTTTTGTTTTTTTTTAAGAAAAAAAATAGAAAGATGCCAACTCGAATTCCAGCCAAGTTCCTTTCGCGGGGGCCGGGGGGGAATAAATGCTAGGCATCACAAAACTACATCTTAAACGAACAAACATGAAAAGAAATTAACAACACTTAACAACAAACCCCTTGAAATTGGCTAAAGATGTGGACAATTGTTACACTCCCTTACCTTCCACCAAACGGAAAAAAATGTAAGAATTTTAGAAAAACTGAAAAAAAATTATCAAATTTTCTTTGACTTTCATATTCAATGAAACACAAACACAAACACACATACACACACACACACACACACACACACATATATATATATATTGGGAGTGTTTGATTCGTTTAAATTTTTTCTTAAATAGAAGAAACAAATCGTGACTATTATATTTTAAAATATTTTCTCTAATTGACGGATTCGTTTCAATATATTAGAATTGAAAATATTAAGAGATTGTCCACGGTTCATGTTCGCTTATTTAGTATTTCAAACATTCGACGAACTTCAGTCATTTTCACGAATTAATGTCTGTTTTATATAATTCTGTAATGACTTTTTCACCCAGATTTAAAACATGATGGTAGTTTTTAATATAGTCTATATCATGTGAACGTGATGTTAATTTTAATTTAAACGTTTGGGATGTCACATATGCCGTCATATGGGTTCTGAGAATTTAGATTCTTTTTTAAATTAGATTTTCTCTAAATTACTGGATCAGAAAAAAATCAGTAGAGCTTTTTTTAATGGATTACAATATTTAGACATTTGTACTTAGATTTATTCAACCATATATGTATCATTTTATTCAACTAACTTTCGCAATTTTTTAGACAGCTTCATGATTGTATCCTCGCAGAAGTTAGTATCTTTCTGGATGATGAACTTGAATTTCGACCTACGAAATTCAGTAAATATCAATAGATGCATTCTTACCTTCACACGCATGCGCCGCATGAGTAGAGAGGTGTGGGTATTAATAGATGATGGTGTTTAACACAGCTTTAAGAACACATAGCAATTTATCCAGTATTAGAATTCAGTACAGGATTTGAAATTGATTTCTATAATAGCACTTTGTGATACGATAACGTTAGACGGGGATCAGAAATGTTTGAATTTTCTTGCAACAAGAACCCAACGATTAAACCAAATCTGCACGTGCATTTTCTTGTCTATCTCTCCGTAGGTCGTCTACTTCACGGCTATTTTCCCGTATGTGATTCTTACTGCTCTACTCATCCGAGGTGCTACTCTGGATGGGGCATACGATGGTGTCATGTATTACCTCACACCAAAGTGGGAAAAGCTGGCAGACTCAACAGTAAGTTGTTATTTCTAAATTCTTTTTTGTTTTATATTAATTATTACAATTATAATTATTGATTACACATTCTTCTTCGTCTTCTTCTTGTGTGTGCCATATCTATTAAGGGCGAGGACGATCATGTCTCTCCACAATTTCCAATACTTCGTAGCTCTTAATAAGTTTTGTCTTTTGCTCTCTCTCTCTCTCTCTCTCTCTCTCTCTCTCTCTCTCTCTCTCTCTCTCTCTCTCTCTCCTAACTCCTGTTCTGCCAACCATTTACACAAGCTCGTTGGATAGGTTATTCACTGCTTTCCTCTGCCTCTTTTGCCTATGACATATCCTGTGAATGTCAAATTCTCCGAGCCCTTTTTACCTCATTATATGGCCTAGGAATTTCAACTGTCTCTTTCAGATTCTAAGTATAAGCGTCCTTTCCGTTTCTATTTTCCTTATTGCTCACATGTTCAGTCCCTGGGATTTTCAACATCCTTCTGTAGAATAACATTAGTTTAAGGAAAATGGGAACAAAAAAATAAACTTATATTTAGAATTAGAAAGAGCGGTTGAAATTTCTGGAGCACATAATGTGGGGAAACAGTTTGGAGAATATGATACTCACAGGTCATATTGAAGGCAAGCAGACTGAAAGAAACAGCGAAAAGTAAACTTGTGTAAATGGATAGCAGAGCTTTGAGTAGGAAGGATAGTGAAAAAGACAAACATTGGTAAGAGCTACAAAAAATAGGAAGTTGTGAAGAACCATGGTCACCCACGTTATGAAGGGAGCACATAAAAGAAGAAACTAGTTTTAAATAGATTCTCAAAACAAAGCCTTTACACTCGAGTATATAAGTGATTGATGCTTTCGCAAAATGGGAAGCTTCACAAGATTATAACTTTTTTTATTTTATTATTCCTATCTTGCCTATCAAATAAGGAATCTACTGTAATAGATAAATAACCTAAAAGCTTTGTCTATCGTTAACATAATAACGTTCTTTATTGGCCTTTAATTGGCTTTAACCTTCACCTTTTCAGGTATGGAGTGATGCGGCTACACAAGTTTTCTACTCTCTAAGTGTATGCTCCGGTGGACTGATTCTGATGTCTAGTTTCAATAAATTCGATAACAACTGCTTAAGGTATGCAAAACACTAGACTTACGTCGACTTACGTCGACTTACGTCAATTGAGTGCAATACAGTTTAAGGCTTCACACGATGATATCTATCGTTATACTTTTTAATATTTTAATTTAATAAATGTGAATATTAGAATTGTTATTGATTTTTATTTTATGTGTTTAATTTTGTATTTTGAATTTGTTAGACTGGAAAGATTCTTACGAGCTATAATATAAGCTTGGCTTTTGTAATTTTAGATCTGAAACTGAATCAACCAATGTCAAACATATAATTGAGAATGGAAAACTTTGAGAATTAACCACAACTTATAATAATCATAAGAAAATCAAATACTGCTAAATGAATATCTAAACGAAAATTTCAATGTTTTCCACGCAAAAGAAAGACACAATATGGTGTTTCCTTTTTAAGTGTTTCATTAAGGTGAACAAATGTTGAAAGAATTCTAATATATGCAGATTAAGAGATGAATTAACAAGAAAGAAAGATAAAGAAAAATATTTTCTAAAGCCAAACGAAAGACGGGAAAGCATAGTTTAGTTTGGAAAGAGGATACTTAAATAAAAATAAATAATGTCCTCTCAAAACGTTAATGACATTTTCCGGACGAAACATCATAAGCTGTATTTTAATACAAGTTTTCTTTCTTTTTAAATATTATGCGAGTCTTTAGAAGGAAAACAGGTTTTCCAGACAGGTAGAGACATACGAGGGTTGATAAAAAAAAAGTATTGGGACAGGTGCTAAAAAAAGAAAACTACAACACATAGCAATTCGGCATTTACTCTAGTTCGAAGTAGTAGCCACACACTTTGTCCAACGTCGTTTCCATTAATGGAAGCATTCATGGAACTCCATTTTGAGGATAGCGAGCAGCTGCTACGTCGCATTCTCTGGGATTTCCTCGGCGTCTTGAAGTCTTGTTCCTTTCAAATGGGAATTGATTTTTGAAGAAGTTGGTCGCAGGGGCGGAATCTGGTGAATATGGTGGTTGTTGGTCCTGGGGAATGTTTTCCATTGCCAAAAACTGCTGTACAAGCCATGTTCACTGATGGGACCTCTGTGGTGTGGTGAGACGACCATACCCTGCACAGTTTCCTTCCAAGCACTGCTATAAACAATGGTTGAGAACGAAAATAATATAACTTAGTGTCCATGCGCGACAGTGTTCAAGGTTAATCTGTGTCAAGCGTCTTCACTCTGCGTACCTTAGCTCCACTACCATAGCAACAACCTTGATACCCTTTTATCAGTCCTCATAAGAGAGAAAAGAGAACAACCAAACGCAACATAGACACCGAATGAGGTTGTCTGATCCTCATCCGTCGAAATCGACTGGAGAGTCCATCATATATATATATATATATATATATATATAAACTATGATGATTAAACTATGAAACCAGTGATGTATAAAACACATTGAATCAAATCTGATGGTGTTAATTTCAATAGTTATAAAGGAGTATTATTATAACTTTACAAGAAACAATGATCATCATTTCTCTTCTTTCTTTTTTTTTCTTTTTTTGTAGAGATGCAATCTTGGTACCATGCGTTGACTGTATAACAAGCTTCTTCTCAGGTTTTGTCATCTTCACAGTTCTAGGTTTCATGGCTAAAGAGAAAAATGTAAGCGTCGAGAAAGTCGTCGACGGAGGTAAGCAGAACTGCACTTTTAACACTTTTATCGCTTCTCTATTTATTTTGAGGTTCATAGAAAATCAAACTGGTTGTGTGAACAAGATGTCCTTACTCGCAATAATTTAAACAATATTATTCAATCAGACAAAATTAATATTCAAAAACAAACTGATCATAATCATAATTCTTGAAAAAAATAATAATTCACTAAATATATAAGTTTGGTTTGTTTGTATATAATTCTATTTTCATTTCAGGACCCGGATTAGCGTTCATTGCTTACCCAGAAGCCATTGCGAAAATGCCGGCGCCAACAGTCTGGGCTATTCTATTCTTTTGTATGATGATCATAATCGGTTTCAGTTCTCAAGTAAGTATCTGAGCTAGAATTTTGAGGAAATGAGGAATCGATAAGATGGTATTGCATGAAAGAATCAATCCAATATAATAATTATTAATTTACGAGAATTTTACACAAGAACTTGAAGATATTTATTTTATATGCCTCATTCAAATTTCACGAAGTACTGGCCGCTGAAGGGTTTTCTGTCACAGTCTAAAATAGGAGCTTTCTTTCTACATACAAAAAGAAATCAAAACGACATTTTAAATCAGAATATTCAGTTGCTACATCGCCGCTTATTCTAATTAATTCAGTTTTTTTAAATCGAATCAGTATGCGGACGGTTTGAAAATAGGAACTAACGACATTCTTACCTTATTTGATGAAAATTTTCCTCTACGGAAGATTTCAAGATTTTAACTTATCATTTTTCTATACAAATCCCTGTAGAGCCTAAAGAACATTTAAGTCATTTTTCCTCTTAATAAATGAAAGGGGATACTTTTCAAATAAATTAATAAATAAGACGTTGTTTGCTTCAATATTATCAATATAAGTTCCAGTGCGTGACTGTGTCTACTGTCCGCTATTAATTGACGCTACAGAGCAATATAGAAATTTAGGCAATTCACCAATTAGAATCGCTGGTATTAATTTTAGGATCGGGGTTCACCAATATATATATATATATATATATATATATATGTGTGTGTGTGTGTGTGTGTGTGTGTGTGTGTGTGTGTGTGTTAACCATTTCATCCTAAGCAAGCAAGACAATAATGTCACTAAGACGCAAGGGATTACTGAGAGTGAAATAAAATGATAAAACGTTAGTGAGAAGAAAAACAAGAAAAGAACAGGATTCAAGAAAACAGAAGATGCCGACTGATATTTAAATTTTTGAAGATCAATTTGACTGGAAAGTAAGAGGTTGGGAAAGAGTCCCACAAGCGAGAAGTACGAAAGAAGAAAGTCTTAACATCGAACTTACGGTTACATCTAGCAATTTCAACTGTAAAATGATGAAACCTAGCTACTAATCTACTACTGCGCTTAAATTCGTAAAGCTGAGATCCTAAAGAGGAAAGCTCATCAGAGCAATTACCATGGAAATATTTATAGAAAAGAGGAAAGCCATATCACGACGGTGGGAAAATCAATGAAGTCAGGATGCCAGTTAAAAACCCATGACATTGGAGACCCTTCTTTGTCAAGAATCTCTAGATATATAGCAGGAGCACCAGACCAGATGTGGCAGCAATATTCAATGCACGGACGAATGGTATATTTATAAACGTTTAAGATAGATTCTGGCAAGAAGAAATTGTCTGTCATATCACTGTGAACTTTCCTAACAACAGACCTAGTAATTGATTTAATATAATCATTCCACTTCGTGTCAGTGGAAAACGTGAAGCCAAGGATGCGCAATGGGTTGCTCTCCTGGAGGTTAGCATCAGCCATACTGGTGGAAGACAAAAATGGTTCTCTAAAATAACAGAATATTATAGAGAATAAGTTGTCAAGTGTTAAATGTGAAATAGTCACCAATATGGGAGCACTGAAGCTAGCAAATGAAAGAATGCTACGAAGTTAAAAGTAATTGCCACTAAAGAGATCAAAACTAGTAAAAATGTAGTTAATAGAAAAATGGCAACGAAGACACAGTTAAAATAATAATAAAAACCAATTGGTTGATTGTCATTATTTAAATGAATAGTTTGTTTTAATTTGTCCGTCAATATAACGACGACAAGGGATCGTAGTAAATTAGTGCGTAGGTCAGGTGAGTGCAAACGTGTTAGGGAAAACTCACTCGCAGATCAAATCGATGCGAGACGACGTGTACAGGGTTAATGAAAATTGTATAAAAAGCATCGCGGCTGATGAAGACATCGGCGTTTGGGCCCGTTGAGAAAAGGACTGTCGTGGGTACGTGACTGTGAGTTAGGCACAGCGAAAATTGATTAGTTAAATTTGTTTTCTTCTCCAAGCTCTGACCAGATAATAAAGTAATAAAGATCTTTTGAAGCTATCCCTTAGTATCAACACTACACAGTGTAGAGTTCACTAGAAGTTTATAGCAGAGATTAATTTATTAGACATTCAGTCTGGTATCGCAGATCTGTTTTCTAAGTCTTTTGAATGATAATGTTTTAAGAAATAGAGATTTGACAACTGTATGAGTTGCATGAAATTGACTTTTGGAGTATATGTCTTTTTAAAAAGTACAAAATAATTCTAACGTAATGTAATAATTCGAAACCGTTCCGCTAGCTTTTCTTCATATATCAAGAATATGTTCTTGCTTATATATAATTGGAGAACTTCAAATTTTATCATCGTATTTATATTTATTGAATGGGTCTTTGTTGATTCTTTGTTTTAGTTCTCTTTAATGGAAACGGTAATCTCGTCCTTGAGTGATGAGTGGGAATCGATCTTACGAAAGAACTGGAAACGTTCACTCATCTTCCGTATCACCATGTGTATTGTATTCTTCCTTCTCGGCCTTCCTATGACTACACAGGTGAGTATTGCACCTCTCACTCTGTTACAAATTACATTTGTTACACTTTATGTCATTTCTAAGATAAACCATGTTATATTTTTTAAATGTTTTCTACAATGCGTTTACATTTTTATTCAAGAGAGTAGATTTTGCCCACTACTCTTGGCAAATTTGGCGTCGTACTAAACGTCCTATGATATTCAATAAAAACTAAAAAGCAGATTATTATTGCTATGTCATTTTTGGATAACTAATAAAATTTCACTACAAATAAAATTGATTTTAGAATGGACAAGGTTGCATAAAAATGATTGATTGTTATTAACCAATATTTTTATTCACAATCTTGGTAGATTTTTATAAATAACTTTTTAACCAAGAAGTGTTGCTTGCAGCATCGTCAATATTTAGAAAAACTTATTGTTTTTATTAGATTAAATTCTTAATGAAATATCTATCTAAAGGTGTATACAGCGAATATAGAAAAATGAAATCTTTAACTACAATCGTACATAGAGAAAGTGGCTTCTTGAAAAAGCATATCGAAAAGTTGATTTATTTCATTGACAAACGGAAGTGAATGAATGGAATTACTCCATTGTTGTCGAGCGGACCTAGTGGTAAACGCATTATTTTGGCGCGACATTTTAATCAGTAAAATAAAAAAAATAGTTTCTTTTTAAATAAGATGCGTAAATTAATAACGCAACTTAGAGGTTTAACAGGTTTGTCTTTAGTTCTCATCACTTGTATTTTCTTCTTATTAAAGGAATGTATTCAAATATATGTATTTTAAATCACTTGTACATTTAAGCCAAATGCTTGATTTTTACTTTATATATTTTCTCTTTTTTATACTAATGTTCACTCAATACAAAGCCGAGGAGTTACTCGAATTAGATCATTTCAGTTGGGACACTTTTGCTCCTAAGTCTAGGAAAATTAACCTTGTCAAAACACTTATTCATCGTGCATTGATGTTCGGAGTGAAAATGCCGAAATCAGGGAAATTACTATCTTTCTCGCCAATGGCTATAGGTGTCTTAGTTTTGGCAATTTATTTTATAAATGCCTGCTTCAGAAATATTATTGCTATTAGTGTTTGAGGATTTGAGTATATCCATAATGGTTTTGGAAGTGTTTGTTAAGTTTGAACCTACAATAAATTTCACTTTTGAAACTGAAACCAACTACACTCTTCCGTTCCTAGACATCATATTACATAGAAATAATAACGAACTCAATTTTGACGTTTACAGAAAGGCTACAAACAAAAATGATCTGATCAGTTTCTACTCAAACCACTCTTCTAAAATTAAATCTGGAATTATTATAGGTTTCTATCTAAGAGCATTAAGAATCTGCAGTCCACAATATTTACTTAAAGAAGAAACATACATAGAAAAAACATTCAAAAACCTACAATACCCATATCATTTTATCCACAACGCAAGTAGAAAGGCATACAAAATATACAACAGAAACAAAAATAACAACATAATTCGCAATAATAAATTACATGAAAACAGATGCATAATATTAACGACCAACTCTGTCACGTCCACTATCTAGAACAACCTACCCCATCTAAATAATCTTAAAATAGTCACAAACCCTTAACAGAATTATTTCTCTCCCAAACACACGTACAGAACAGTATCAAGAAATCAAAAGAAAATGGTTGAATCCATCAATACAGCAATAAAAACAATATCTCCACACGTGACAGTAAATGACGTAATTTCAGTTAACAGTATGAAAATAGCGTTCTTTGAATTCTTCCAGTGGCTAAGGATATTTTGTTTTGTTATTATTAGTTACTTCGTTTAATAAATTCATTTCGTTTTGCCTTGAGAAAGTCCACATCGGACGAAACGCGTCGGCAACTATTACAGTTTTCCCATTGTCTTTTACATATATAGAACCTTCCAAAATATTTTTGTACTCATTCATCAGGAAAGTCAAAATATAAAGATATCATCAAAACATGAAGATGTGTGTATGTGATAGAGAGACAAAGGGAAAGAAAGAAAGAAAGAAAGAAAGAAAGAAAGAAAGAAACAAACAAACAAACAAACAAACAAACAAACAAACAAACAAACAAACAAACAAACAAACAAACAAACAGTAAAATAATTAAAGAGAGAGTTACAGAAATACTTAGATGGAAATAATTTTAAATAAATTTATACATAAATAATATAATTGTGTTTGTAATATATATAAATTCCCATAACTGTAACATTTAAGTTCTTATTTATTTTTTGTACCTCATAGGCAGGAATGTATATTCTAAACATGGTGGATACATCAGTCGGTGGCTTCCCACTTTTGTTTGCTGGTGTTTTTGAATGCGTGGCTGTAAATTTTGTATACGGTAAGTATTTTTATGGCTTTTTTAATCTACACAGTAATCAAACACTGATATGTTTATCTCAAGATGAGAAATTCACACCCACACATCTAATTGATGAGTTGGGAAATCATATTATTTTAAACCTCAGACTCAATATGTGCCTTGAATTTATCCCTGACCTAATTACAGAATGTTTATTTTTATGTGAAGGCCTGAATATATCAGGATCACAAGCCCTGTAAACCTTCAGGTCGTTGGAACATCACATGTAATTCAAAGTTATCTTTCTCTAAGAAACCCTACCAAACCCAGTTTGTCCAGCTATTTGATCCATAGCTGTAGAAAGACAGATTCATATCTTTTACAAGGACACCGGAACTTAGGGAGCAAAACAGATTTATTCAAAATTCAAATTCAACATGCTGAGTCCATTTTCTGCCTCGATAATCATTACACGGTTCACTCAATTTTGAGTATATCCTTTAAAAACTACTGCTTCCTTGAAGAATAACGAAGAACAGTTGAACATCTGAATACTTGTATATGAATTATACACGTGGACGCTGCTTGAGAAAGCAGATATACGTGAGACTGCTTAACCAATGAAAAAGAAACAACACAAAAATAAAAATACCAACATTTTCTTTTCTTCTGCATATTCCATTTTCTGATGAAGCTTGAATAAAAGCGAAACATGTTAAATTTATAAACGTTTCCTATTTGTTCTTTATCCTATCATTCTGTCAGATTCTAATCCATATTTGATCCATATTCACGCTTACACATGCATAAAGAGACAAAGAACTCTTTCTTGCTTACATTTTGTTGCATCAAATAATAAATTTCTACAGCTTTTGTAAGCTTACAGTCATATCATGTTGAAACACTGGTTCCCGTACAATCACCAAAATTAAGCAATGTCGAGCCTGGTTAGTATCTAGATGGGTGGCCATTTTGGGAATATCAGCTGGTGTAATGGATAATAGATTGGGATTGGAAATTAGAGATCTAAGTTCCAATTACAGTTGTGTTCATTATATTCACTTATGCATAAATATCCTTGGGAAAAGTACGTATTCACCTTTTCTCCTCTCAGCTATCAGTTAATTAGAAAGACTTATATAACTAAACCATTATTATTCTCCCTCACCAAAAAAAATTTCTTACAATTTAAAACTATTTTCTGACTTTAAATAACCTGCAAACGGTTGGTAAGTCATAAAAACGAATCAATCAAACTCATTACCAATAACTTGCAAGATTAACTTTATAATAATTGCTCTATGGTAGGCTCTCTTTTGTTTATGGAGCAGTCAATAAAGAATTAACTCTCTCGTAACAGTTTACAGGACAGGGTTGCTGTTATTATATAAGTGCTCAATGTTTGATGGAGTGCTGAAATGTTCTCAGCTCAACACACTTACAAAAATCAACATTTCAATAATCAAATATCAAAACTTTTAGAAAGTTTAAATAAATTAGAGGAACAATTTACCAAAAGTGTTGAACATCAAAGTCGAACATGTAGAATATGTGTGTTTCATAGTTCTAGATCATTCTTTTTCTAATCTAATCTAATCACCACATTTGGGATCTTAGTCATTATAAACTCCACAATCCTTTCCTTAGCTGCCTAGTAGATGCTTTGCCATGGCTACATACAGTTTTGAATTCAGAGTTCTTCTTCTAGACCATTTGTGATAGGACTCAGTATGACCTGCTTATCCATAGCTAGAAAGAGAAGGGATGGATTCATACCTTTCCTAAGTGAATGTAATGAACTTGACTGGAAATCAAACTCAGCTCTCCAATTCCTCAATCCAATCCACCATCCATTAGTCTACCATGCCTCACTTTAGAATTCAGAGTTCTCCTTCTGCTAGACTAGTTGCCACCCAAGGTTAAAAAACAGTCTGCCCTATTATTTATCCATAATTGGAGCTTTTGAATTTGGAATTGTCCATCTAGACTAGTTGACATCCAAGGCTATAGGACACAGTCTGTTCTGCTATTTACAGGAAGAGAGATGGGTTCATACCTTTCTCAAGGGTATTTGCACATAAGTGAAAACAAACTTGACTAGAATTCAAACTTTGCTCTCCAATTCCTCTTAGTAAGGCAAATAACTTTTAAGCATCCCCTTATATATCATTTTCTCTGTTACCAGGATATAAAAATTTTGCATCTGATGTCTCGATGATGTTGGGGAAGAAGCCATCAATCTACTGGAGAGTATGTTGGTGCCTCCTCACACCACTCCTTTTATCCGTAAGTATTTTACACACAAAACTTATGAAAGTGAATCAATACATTTCAACAGGATCCGTTTGTACATTTCATGTCTCAGGGAAAAAATATTCAAACACAAAGAGACTCTGATTAGAGAATAATTAATGTTTACTTATATCATTAAGTGAGCTTAGCTTAGTGAGACTTAGAATAAAACTCACAATACAATAATAATAGTCTGCTAAAATAGTTTGCTATTTTCTCATGGAAAAGTGAGTTATCTAGGCTTGTCAGATTAGGCTATTTTTGAAAGCCTAGCTCCTTTAAATTTTGAATTTTTTAACTCAGCATCTTTGTAGATAACTTTTAAAATAAGCTAAGCTAACTTGGGTTATCATATATGACTATATAGGCAATAGATTCTGCAGGAGGAATCTTCAAAGCAGTCACCTGCTGATGAAAAGGAAATAGAAAGAGATAAATGAAAACTTTAAGGATTAAGTGCCACTTGGTCAGAAGTTAGGAAATCCCAGCAACATGCTTAAATAAGCAAAATCACAGTTAGAATTGAGGGTAATTCTGGGATGACAATTATGGGCTTGCAAGCTCTGCATTGTGATGTACAGATGGGCAGAAGAGAATTATCACTGGCTAAAGGGAAGATCTTGTCTGTTAACCTGTCAAGAGTCACTTACCTACATATGGGCTGTACCAAGTGAATTTCCCAGTTTTCATGAAGACCAACACAAAAAAGAATCAAGACAAAATGTGAGATGATTTGTCTAGACAGTGAAAGTAACAAGACATATATAGTGTTGAGTTCAGAGTGATGTAGATGTATGCCTTTCTCAAGGGTATTAGTGTTAAATGGACAAAAGCAGTATCAATCAAAATTCAAACTAAATAAAGTTTTTCTCTCAATTTTTAAAACATCAAGCTATTTCCGTCTGAATTTCTGGAATGAGGAGTTATCATTATTTGCACTATTTATATTCAGACTATTGTCCTCATCTTTGTTGTTGTTATCACAATACTACAGCAGTTGCACCCTCTGGCTTTCATCAGGTGTATATCAATCTGGGTAACCTACAAGGAATTCCGAACTAAACCCTTTATTTAATCTATGGGGATAGACTGTTCTACAAAATAATAGTCTAGTGGATTAAAGCATTGGTTCATGACTTTGGTGATATCGTAATTGCAAGTTCAATCCTTGAACCAGGCAATGTGTACTCAGTGGAAACAGAGTGAGCATTAACTGAGCAGAACTAAAAATAAGAACTATCCTTAGACATGGGACAGTGGAACAAGAACAGTTTATCATCATAGATTAAATAAAGGGTTCAGTTTTTAATTCACTTTAGGTTATTTGGATCGATTTACACCTGATGAAGGGCACAATGGCCAAACACTGATAACAACAACAAAGACAAGGATAATAGTCTGAATGTAAATAGTGTAAATAATCAAACCATTTTTATTTTTCTTTACATTTTAATTTTAATTTGTCTTAGTTTTTCCTCTGTTAAGAATATTGCTGATTATTTTAAAGTAATTAAAATGGAAATATTATACATGCTCTTTATGATTTACAGAATTAATTTATTTTTTCATATTCCTTAAGTGAATAATTTGTTCCAAAACTCAAATGTTTTGCCTCTCTTTTTACATTGCAGACTGTGATTATCTTTAAGGCTATCCAATACACACCTCTCACGTACAAAAACTACATATACCCTACCTGGAGCCAAGCATTAGGCTTACTCATCATGCTCTTCCCCATTCTAGCATTTCCTGTACATTTTTTATTTGAGTATTGCCGGAAAGGAGGATTTTCGGTGAGTAACTGACCTTGCAGCTTTCTCATCTTTTCCTAATATTTCTCTATTGTTATTAATTTGTTTCATTTCCTATCATATTGCAATATAGTTCAAATATTCTATAACATTAGTAAAAAGTAATTCTATAATAAGTAATAACAAATTTAGTATAGAAGATAAAGAAATTGAGGATGGAATAAACTGTGCCAAGGGTAGTTTTGTTCAACACCACAAGATGTTACAAAAACAAAATATTAACTTAAGAACTCAAGTCATGTTCTTAGATAGCCTCATCAGATTTAGGTTCTTATTGCGGGATGCTAGTATGTTTGGGTAGAAATATTTAGTTACCATTATGTCGTGGGAATTAACACTGTAGATGTCATGTTCTTATATAGAAGTAAAAATATGTAAAATATGTTGTTATAATTAGCAATTATATATAAGTCATTAAAGATTAATTAAAGAATTATATTTAAATTGTCACAATTATATAAAAGTAATTAAAGATTAATTAAGTAGTAATTAAAAAAGAAAGAAAGAAATTTTAAAGAAAGATTTTTAAATTTTAAAATATTTTTAAATATAAAAATATTTTAATAATAATATTTTAATAATAAATATTAAAATATTTGGTAATAAATATTAAAATATTTTTAGATATAAAATTTTAAAGATTTTAAAATTTTAAAGAAAGAAATGACAATTTTAAACTGTCACAATAATATATAAGTAATTAAAGATTAATTAAGTAGTAATTAGTAATTATATATAAGAAGTAAACTATGTTCTTATATAAGTCATGTTCTTAAATAGCCTCATCAGATTTAAGTTCTTATTGCAGGATACTAGTATATTTGGGTGGAAATATTTAGTTACCATTATGTTGTGGGAATTAACACTGTAGATGTTTTATATGTATGAGCTCATGGAACATTTATCCCATGAAGAATATTGGCGGACTCAATGTCAGTCCAGGTAAAAATGAGAAAAAACAATAACAGAAATGCATGTTATTAACAAATGGAATTATATGTGTAGACAATTGTAACAAAAAGAAAAATCATTAAAACAAGTTAGAAGAAGAATGTGCTTGCTTGTCTGTGTGTGTGTAACAAGCATGTGTGATAGATACCTGTGTTTATATGCATGCATGAGAGAGTTCAAAAGTCAGAGGAGGACCAAAGAAGTGAACACACCTTGTCAGCAACATTCATATCTACATGTTACTACATCTGAAAGCCAGAGCTAAAAAGTGAGTGAGTGAGAATATCATTGCCAATTTATAGTCTTAAAGAGCAAGCAGCAGTGTTCTAACAAGACCAAGTGAGATAAACCCGTGCTGTCATATGGATGACATGCATGGTGTACAACACGTTCTGAAATGGCCAAACTATCAGCTATATACAACTGTTCTCTCAGATCAAAAAATGGCTTCAAGTGAATGAATCCTCTACATCTTAAAGAACACAATCCTTCATCAGATCTTATAGACTAGCACTACAGAATCACAAAGAACTTTACCAAATAACTAAAGCATAATCACTTGAAGACTTTCAAAAACAGCAACAACTAAAATGAATAACAGATAACTAGAAGGGAAAATAACGATATGCTATCCTCTACCTTTATAAAAGCCAAATGAGACCAAAAATGGAGTACGGTTGTCATATTTGGGCAGGAGCTGCTCAGACCTCACTTTCCAGTCTTGATAGAGTTCAAAAGTATCTCCAAGCCCTTGTTGGAGAAGAATTATTTTCTACACTCCAACCTTTCTCTCACAGGCAGGATGTAGTGAGTCTTTCACAGCTCTATCACTACTACCAAAGAAAGTGCTTGAACAAACTGCATCTCCTGGTTCCACCAAGTCTGACCTTCACCGCTAAGACCCGCCATGCCACTTACATAATAACAAACCATCCTCATTCCTTCTGTATTCCATTGGTGAGAAGTAAGTTCTACTCAAACAGTTTCTTCCCACAAACAACTGCCCTATGGAACAGACTCCAAAGACGATGTTTCCCCGATCACTACAATCTGTTCAAGTCTAGAGCCAACCATTATCTTCCCCTCCTATCCATATTAATTACCCCTTAATGTAATACTCTACCTTGAGTGGCCCGTGGGCCTTGTACCGGGTGAACCTTACTGTAAAAAAAAAGATGTTGACATTCTACACTACTTTAAACAAAAGATTAGGAAGGAAACTACCATCAATAATAGAAAGAGTTATAATAATGTAGTTGAGAAGCCTATTTCCCTGAAAAACTGTTTTAAGAGAAAGATATTATAAATTCCAACCAACAGTAACACTAACTCTTCAGTCAATGAATGCCAAATGTTTCCTATATGATTTTTCACCTATAGTGAATATGATCCATTATTGTACATAATTAGTTTACAATAAAATTTGTATTTTATATGAATACTATCTTATGAAAATTGAAATGTAGTAGAGTGGAGGAGGTCCCATATCTTAGAGTGCTGGGGGGGGGTGCACAAGACCTTTACTCTGAGTTGGCAGCCAATGTAGGAAAACTATTCTGAATTCAAAACCAGCAAAAAAAAGCAATATGAAACCACTTCACTGTCTTTTTCCAAGAAGTCATAGCAATTCATAGATAATAAAAGAAAGAATAGTTTGATGAGAGCAATGATCGTCTACAACCAAAATGGACATGACATTTTCAAAAAAACCAACCCATGTACTCTCCAACCTTCCTCAGGTGGATATCACTTTCAGTAATATTCGGGAAGTTTTATTCTTATTTTTTTGTCCTTGTTGAGTTTGTTTTTTATCCCTCACCTGCTATATTCAGAATTCTTTCAAGAGATTTGAATGCTATTTTTTGGCTCTCAATCTTTTCTTTTTATAGCACCTCACTACTCATCCAACAATGAGCATTTAAACATGGTGTAGTGGTTAGCAAGCTCATCTCACTAGATTAATTATGACTGAGTAGTGAGTTCGATCCTCACCAATCGCTCGCCTTGCATTAAATCTAAACTACGCCTAGAAAATCATTTAAGACACTTTGACATGGTGTAATGGTTAGCAAGTTTGTTTCACTTGTTTCAATTACAACTGAGTAGTGATTTTGATTCTCACTGAGTGCTCCACAATTTCGGCCCTGTGCCAAATCTAATCTATAAAATTATTAAGAGCACTTCATCATAGTGTAATGGTTAGCAAGCTTGTCTTGCCAGATCATTTACAAATGAGTAGTGAGTTCAATCCTCACTGTGTCACATCTAAGCTACACTTTGTAAATCATTATACCATGTCACCAGGAGTACTTTGACATGGTGTAATGGTTAGAAAGCTTATCTTGATAGATTAATTACAACTGAGTAGTGAGTTTGATCTTCACTGGGTGCACTTTGAGCCACATCTAAGTTATGCTTAGAAAATCATTTAGGGCACTTTGTCATGGTTAGCAAGCTTGTGTCATTAAATCAATTACAAGCAAAGTAAAGAACCCCTTGCATAATGTTTTGTTATTGCAGATTGTATAAATCAAAAATTATACTAATTATTGGATGTAGAAACAATTTCCCAAGTGAAGATGATTTACCTTGAAAGTCATTATTTCAATGTTATGCTTTATCCTTATTGCAAACATCTATTTATAGCAGAACAAAATTCTCTACCATCAAAGTATGCCTGTTGAAAGAGAGAAATGAATATAACACGACAGATAAACTGAAATACTCATAAATAAAAATGAGAACATCATGAAGAAAAACTGATACAATTAAACTGATATTATTATTTTATTTTCACTAAAAATTTACTTGTCTCACTATGAAAATACTGTTTCTTTCTTTTAAGGTGCTTATAAAGAATATCCGTCCATTGCCTGAATGGGGTCCATCTTTACCTGAAAACCGAACTGGTCATTATGCTTCTCCAGACAGATGGGAAAATGGAAATGTAATGCATACTGAATATGACCATCCAATCAATCATCACAAAATAAGTATGGGCGTGACTAATATTGGATTTGAATTTGACAAGGGAAATCCACCAGCCTACCCAGATCTGGACAACACTCAGTTATAATATACAGACAAACAAAGGAAATGGTGCCTTTTTTTTTTAACCATTATATTTTTACCATTACAAATATGCTGTAGATAAACCTTTAACAACACAGATATTTAAAGTCATTGAAAATAAAATATGAACATTCACACAAAGAAATTTTAATGGTAAAATTTTAAAAAATTATTCTCGAGAATAAGCAAAACTATTTTTACTGTTTGCAGTGTATACAAAATAGTTGTATGACTTAAATACAAATATTTATAAATTGTCAAATGGCATGTACTGGAATTTTTAATTACTCAAAATTTCTTACAAGTTATCAAATAATCAAAACAGCATTTTTTCTTTTGGAATTCACAACTTTTATGTGATCGCAACTAAATAAAAATAATATAAGTTATTTTTGACAGTTTTTAAAATAAAAAAATTAAAAATATTTTAGATCAGTACAACGATATTGATACTGATGGAAAATATGAACAAAATGGACACATACTTAGAATCAGACTGTTGAACTTTCTAGGGCACATAATGAGGAAAGAGGGCTTGGAGAATTTAAATTTTGAATTTGCTTTGGAGGCAAGAGAGACAGAGGAAAGCAGCAAATAACCTACTTAACAAGCTTGTATAAATGGTTGGCAAAACAAGGACTTGGAGGAATAACAAAAAGACAAAGCTTGCTCAAAGCTATAAAAACAGGAAATTGTGGAAAGCCATAAATGCCCATGTCCTGAAGTACATGGGGAAACAATTTTCATGAAAGTGATTTTTGTACTGCATACTACAATTTTATTATCTTATTATTTTGATAATAATAATAATTATATGTAATATAATCACAGTGAAATAATTTATCTCCTCTTCAAAAAAAAAGTTCTGTGGGAAAAGAAGTCCACAATTTTATGGTATTTCTTGAAGAAAAAATAGGTCAAAGTTAGCTAGTTATTAGCTTGCAAAAACAAATTAATTTTTTTGAATTCATCATTCATAAAATATTAAAATACATTATGGACAAACATTTTATAACTTCAAAATTTCCTCACAAATAATTGTTAAATTTTGGTGTAAGTCAAAATTGTTGACAATTTCTTTTTAAATTCATTATCCAAATTCATCTTCCATGATAATTTTTCTATTTTACTCTCCTTTCTAAACAATGAAGGATTTAGAATCCTATAATTCTTGTGATCACAATTTAGAGGATGTATTTATTACTTTTAAATTATGCAACCATTTTGTCCTATCATGGACAATAAATATGGGGTCAGTAAAATAAAGAGGTTCCCAATTTTTATGGGCACACATGTGTCTCTTCCAAGTCCTTCAGGTGTTTTGAAAACTTTTAGAACATGCGATTGAGCTATTTTTTGCTCTATTGTCACGTTTCCACAAGTGGACAGCAAGTCATGCAACATTATATATATATATATATATATATATATATATATATATATATATATATATATATATATATATATATATATATAGATAGATAGATAGATACACATAAAAATTTATATGTATTTAAAATCCCTTTTAAAAGAATTAAAATCTAACATTCTTATATATGGAAGAAAAGTAATATACAAATAATGTATATATCGTAAATGTTTTCAATGAAAGACATTGAAAAACTGCTGCCAAAATTTACATTGTGTATAAATATATATTAATAAGGTATATTTAGATAGCAAGTATTTGTTCCAACACATTTGATTAAAAAGAACCTACAAGTTCTTTATGTTTAATTTTTTATTGTATTTTTTCAATTTTCAAATAAGGTGTTGAGTATTGTGCTCAAAGTTGTGGATAAAGTGGTTCATAATTTGTATTGTTTTGTTCAAGTACTTTCAACCATCTCAGTCATTTTCAAGAATCAATATGGTCTGTGTGATAGGAATGCTGGAAATTTTAAATAGACTACAGTGATGTCATGTGTAATGGTTAACAGGAACAATTCCACACAAAAAGAATGTGATTTATTTATTTGTAATTTATTTTTTTATTTTATGTATTCGTATTTTTTCTTATACTAATATAATATATGCAGACATTAAATATATCTTATGCACTTCATGATACCATCTCTTGTGTACTGAAGATATATATATATATATATATATATACACACAAACACATATCAAACTATATATATATGTCAAACTTTATTTTTTCTTATTTTTAAGCACATTTAAAAAGTTGCTACCTAAATGTGCATTATATATATATATATATATATATATATATATATATATATATGCACACATGTCAAACATATTTTTAATGAATCACATATTGAAAAACTGCTACTTAAATGCACATTGTGTATGTATATATATATATATATATATATATATATATATATATATATATACACATGGTGAACACCAAGTACGGTCATTACTACATATCTTTTTGGAGAATATCTACTGATGTGCTGAATGAATGTGGCTCTTTAACCCAGCAAGGGACCTACATACTCTGGCAGAGGTGCAACAGCAGGTGTTACATTATCATATATATATATAATATATATATCTTATATATACATGTATCATATCTATACATACATGCATGCACACACCTATATAGATGGGATTGTATAATGAGAAAAAGTCAACATCTGTGTAGAGAATGTTGGATAAATATTTTTCTAACAATTAATTTATTTATGACATAATTATTATAAATGAAAAATGTAATTATTTTTATTAACATTGCCAGTTTTGGCATTAGACGCAGTGCAAAGTTGTTTTTAAAAATACATTTTGTCTAAGTCTTGACAGATGGGCTGAAAAAAACAGTGATTCATTGTAATTATTTCCAAATTTGCCTTATGGGTGTAAAAATTGGGACAAATCACACAAAGTAGTTTGTCTGTAATAAATTTATTTTTATCAATAATCTTTTACCTTATGCATTGCCTCTCCATGAATAAAATCTATGTCCACGACTGGAAGATCATTATTTTTCTACAATTAAACATTTTTTTATATGTGTATATAGGTATAGATATCTTCAATTTAAGGAATAATTAAGCAGGAGTCACATAATTTCTTTTATTTCTAAAATAAAAAAAATAATAATGTCCACAAGATTAAATAAATATTTAATTTATATATCGATCAAAGAAATATGTCTAAGATAAGGACAATAAAAAAGAAAATTAAGATATTTTCATTTTTTTTTTCTTTTTATAAATTAGACATATCTATACAATAGTAGCAATTTTTATTAATTAAAACTTATTTTAATAATGGAAAGGCTTCCTTGAGAAGTAATGGCATTGATTTCTTAATGCAATAACACAGCCCTTTGATGTGAAATAGCCAATAAAATTTATATTTTGCGGCACTTTCTGGGTAAGATGCATGAGAGAAGATGTATTATTTGTTTATCTGCACAATAACCAAATTACATTGCATATACTTTGTTGTCCTAAACACGCATAATTTTTTTTTAATATATATTATAATAATCCAAGTTATTTACTTTTCAGTTATTGTTGATATAAAAATTTGAACAAGCCCAGTTTTATAAGGCTCTAATTTTATTGTATACATGTATATCAATAAGTCCACAGTTTACTGATAAAAAAAAACAATTATTTTGCAAAAATATTTTTGTGTATATTTTCTCTCCTTGTCAATACAGTTAACTATATAGATTAAACATTATGCAGTGAAAATTTCAAGTCAAAATTCAGCTAATAAGTATTGTAAACATAAAGTGGAGTAATGGATAGCGGCTCAGATTGAGGAATCAGAGAGCCGAGTTCGAATTCCAGTCGAATCCATTACATTCACTTACGTGTTAATACCGTTGGGAAATGTATGAATCCTCTTCTTCTCCTCCTCCACAAGCTATGGGTAAATAGCAGGACAGACTGAGTTCTATAGCCTTGCATGGCAACTGGTCTACTGCAGAAAGAAATGGCAACCTATTGCGGGAAAAAATCTGCCTCGGCAGTCATGTATCAAAAGATACATGATCGCCTAAGCGTGTATCATGCATGGCACATAAATAACTGAAACATAAAGCCCTCTCTCAATCTTTCATTAAATGAACAAATCACCCCACATTGCATTTTGATTCTTGTTTGTCTTTGGTATGTACAAAAACTAGGAGCAGTCCATTGTACATTCACAAGGGGACAAAAGATTGATTTACTGATCTATTTTTTATTGCTTATCAACCTTTTGCAGATTATTTCAAGTCAGAAAATTATTTTTCTATTGTAAGAATTTTTTGGCAATAATAATGATTTACTGATACAAGTCATACTATTTAACCCATAGTTTGAGGAAGAAGAGATGGATTCATACCTTTTCCAGGGGTATTTGTGCAAAAGTAAATTGGAACTTGGCTCTCTGATTTCCAATTGCTAACCATTACTCATTACAGCACCCATACATCTAAGTATTATCAAATGGTTACCCATCTAAGTACTGACTGGGCTCAAAGTTGCTTAACTTCAGTGAGCCAATCTTTCAACATGAAATGGTTATAAGCTGTGACAAAATATGAAATAAAGCCATTGTGAGAAGTAGAAACATGAATCCTGTTTCCAATATATTTAATTATTTATCCACGGATTCACTTGACTCAATTTGAAGGAGGTAGATAGGTGATACTCGGGATATCTTTGCTGATATTTCTGTCTACTCTCATGATAGATTAACAGACCAGATCTTCCCTTCAGCCAATGAGAATTCCATCAACCTCTGATTCTATATCTCTCTTGGTCTGCCTGTCTCACTCATCACTATTAACAGACAACTCTGCCATTTCAACACTATGAACAGCTTGGAACTGACAATTCTATGATCTTGCTTATATAAGCCTACAACCAGTAATTTCTACCTTCCAGCCAAATGGCACTTGATCCCAAAAGTTTTTATTTATTTATTTATTTATTCTATTTCCTTTCAACTATTTCTGGACAGTGGTTGATTGCTTTGAAGATCTTACTTTGAGTCTTTACTGCTGGTCATAAAACACCAGACACTTCAGACTCAGAAAACATCCTTTACTGTGCACTTTACTATATCGGTGTCCTGATCAGAGCCAGATCCCAAACTGTGGACTTATTGATGAATCCAATGTCATACTCCATCTTCTGTCTCTTATACTTCTTGAAAGAGAAACAATAACTTTTACTTGGTTTCTATACTATAGAAAATGGTATTGACCATGAGGTAATGGTTAGCAATATAACCTAGCTATTATTATTGAATAGTAAGTTCAAGTCTCACTATGTGCCCCATATGTTTATAGCCATCTGCTAAAACTTAGTAAATAACTTTACAACAAATATTTATTTTGATTTTTTTTGTGCTTTTAGCAAAGATGCAGAAAAGTCAATGCAATATACATTGTCTTCAGAGAACAATGCATAGAATACCAGTATTTGATAAAGAGAGTTTAACTGACAAATATATGAATGGTATTAGTGTAGATATTTTGGTAACTTATTCAATTTTCTTACAAGACCAAATTTATATAATATCAAGTGAAAAAAAATAAACCCACAAATATTTCAAGACAAAACAGGCAATTCATAGTTCTACAGTAGGTGCTTATAAATGGTATCTGGATATAGAGTATGTAATTATATATATATATATATATATATATATATATATAGAGAGAGAGAGAGAGACAGACAGACAGACAGACTTAATACATAATATTAACAAAGTAAAACCTTTTAATTTTACAATGATCATTTTTTTTCTTGTTCTCATGGATATGCAGCAATTCTTTTTTCTAATCTCGCTAATATTTTATAATCAACCAAAGAAATGGATGTTATTTTTTTTATCTTTAGAGTGTTTGCTAAGAAAACAAAAAAAAAAAAAATACATGAAATATATATGTACACAAAACATTTTGATAATAAAACTTTAAAAAAAGATATTTATATGCTTGTTTTATTGTTTTTTTCTTATGGCTTATCAACCTTTTTTATATTATTTCAAACCAGAAAATATTTTAAAATTGTAAGACATTTTTGGAGACAACAATGGTTTACTGATATAAGGACTACTAATTAACCTGTAGCTGGAGGGAGAAGAGGAGGATCTATACCTTTCCCAAAGGTATTTGCACATAAGTGAATAAATATAAGGAACTCAGCTCAATGATTTCCAATTCTAAATCATTTTCAATGACAAAACTCACACATCCAAGCTTACAGCACCTGTTATTCTCAAATGGTCACCCATCTAGGTACTGACCAGGCTAGAAGTTGCTTATAATACTTTAAAATCAACCAATGATGTAAACTTGATAATGATAAATATCATTTTTCTAGTATCTCCAAATCTTTTTTTGTTTAATTTCAATACATCTGACTGGCAAGCAGTTTGTTTTTTTATTGATTGATTCATTCATTTTTTTACAGCTTATCAACCCTTTGCAGGTTATTTAAAGTCAGAAAATATTTTTACATTGTAAGAATTTTTTTTTTGAGATAATAATAATAATAATACAAGTCTTAGATCTTTTCACCCCAAAATATTATTCCCCCCCCCCAAAAGAATTTATATTTACTAAAATTCACACCAAATTCTCCCAGAACAAAGACCCTCCATTGCACTCCGGTTTGGTTGACGTTTGCAATTGCCCCAAATGTGAGCGACTTGGGTGCCCTATTTCTATGTGCGGAGGTCTACATAAACACGTCCAAAATAATTTTTTTCCTTTAAATTGTAAAGAGTTCCTTGTAAGTATCTTGAATATCATCTACACTTATGAAATGTAAATAACTCACTGATTTTCGGTAATTTTTTATTCTGAGAGTTGTTGCGAGGCAAGATAAACAAATTTTGATTTAAAATTTCAAGAGTGGCAAAAATTTAATAAAAATACAAACTTTGATTTACAATTTCTCAGGGTGAATTATTTTTTGCGATAAGTATCTTTACATTATTTGGGATGAATTAACAGAAAAGATCCCAAGTCTTACAAACTGGGAGTAAAAGAGATTTTTGTACCTCTTACATTTTCTACACAAACCAAATGTTGGCTGCTCAACAACCTAAAGCAGACTGTAAATATGTTTTCTCTGCATCAGCTCCACACATACATCAGCTTTAACCAAAATAAAATGAATATATCAAGACCAGTCAGAGATACTTCTGCTAAAAAAAGAAAAAAAAACTCAATTTTGAGGAATTGAAGGCTATATATACCCAAATTCAAATAGACCCAAAATAGACCTAGCATCTGATGTCAACACTGATGCGCTGAGAGTGATGCGACAAAGATCAATGTTTGATATCAACGCTAACACGCTAAGAGAAAAAAAAAAACACCAACAATAACGGCCACCACCAATGCCCATTTCACTTCTAATTTCACCACTAATTCTCTTTGTTGTCTTAGCAACAGAAACAGATAGAAGTTACTAGTTTTTGTATATATATAAATAAATTATACATTTATTTACCCATAATGTCCTCTTTTATTTAATGCTTGGATTTACATTTGCCGAATGAATTAACTTCCACAACATTAACAAAAACAAAATTCTGTTTTCTAAGTTACCCATTTCCACCTCTGCAACAAGGTGGATTCATACCTTTTCCAAAGGTATGAATCCACACAAGTGAATATAATGAACCCAACTGAAATTGGAACTCAGCTCTTAAGCCATTATCTATTACACTAACTGTACATCCAAACTTACAGCACCTGGTATTCCTAAGTGGTTACCCACCTAGGTACTGACCAGGCTAAACATCGCTTAACTTTGGTGATCATACGAGAACTGGTTTTTTAACATGATATGGTTATAAGCCACATGCTTGTTTTATTTAATACTTTCAAAAACATTTTGATGATAGAGAATCATAAAAATATGTATATCATAAACTTGATAAAGATCATTTTTTTTTTAATATCTGTAAATCTTTGTTCATTTCATTTCATTTCAATTCAACACATCTGACTGGCAAGCAATTTGTTTTGAAATCAAAAGAAAGGAGTGAATCTGAAAGATCAGATACACACTTCTAGAAACAAAACCAGATAAAATCTATCTCTTTGACCAACTTTTAATAATAGCTAGCTCAAGTACTAGGATATGCAAATAGTGTAACAGAAGCACAGATGAAAATTGCAAGAATTCAAATTCTGGCTTGGCCTATTGTTTTGTCACAAGAGTTAAAAGATTGCCAATGAGGGCTTACTGAAGCATGGTTAGTGCTGTAAGTGGCGTTATGTTTCTCCTCATTTACACAGCCTGGGGGACACCAACCCTGTGGTAATACCTTCCTCATTGCACTAAAGAGGTTGGGCCAGTATAATACCAATGCCAGCAGGACTGTAGACACAGGGGCTAGGCAAACATCAATTTTTGTCCCTGCCTTATATGCATAAGTATACGTATAGTGCTCCCCTCGTTAAAACGGCCTTGTGTCATATCCAGCCTTGGTGGGGAGGCCAGGTAAATATCTACTTTCAAAGAAATACGCTTTAGAAAGATATGAATCTGTATCTTCTTCCTCGACTTATAAGTTAAATAGCAGAGTAGACTGTGTGCTCTCTAGCTTTGGGTGGCAACTAGTCTAGGAAAAGAGTGCAATAATGAAGAAATAAAAACTGTAGAAAGCCATGATGAAATATGCGCAGAATGGACAAGGTATTAATAAAAAATGAAAATATATACTAACAGATGGTCAAGTAAATATGTCAGAATGCATATCCAAGCGTATTCTTTAACTGCCGACACTACTAACAAAATCAGTTGTTGAGTACAGGAGTGTGAAAATTTGGTTTAGATCTATAAAAGTGAAGGTGACCAAGTTCTTATCAAGTGACCAATGATTTCTATCCACTGAAAAATAAAATAAAACTTGCTTTAAATGAATAAGAATGTAAACGTGGAAGTTTACAAACATATTGCTATATGTTTATTCATATATCAACACTAAAAAAAAAAAAAAAAAATACCAATGAAGTCTTGGTGAAAAACAAATTCAACTATCTACTCACAAAGAATACCAAAACACTAGCAAAATTTTTCTGGCAAAATGAATTTTGAATAATTTCTAACAGAATTTCCTCCTTGTCTAAGAATGATCATTTGTAATTTGGAAAAGTTAATCAGTAAAATTAATTGATACAAAATGTCTGTTTGTCTTTAATATTTGCCTTAAAGACCATTTGCTGCTTAAAAGAACAATTTTTTTATATATATATATATATATTAGTGTAACAGCAAAATTGTTCAAATCGTGTTACAGCATTATTATTCATCCCACAAAATGTTTAATATCTAAAAAAAAAAAAAAAAAAAAAAAAAAACACTAAACTAATTGAATTTCTTTTTTCCAGGTTTTCAGATAAGACGTTTAGCCATCTTGACACCATTTATCATAAGAATGACTGAAAAATCCTTTGAGTTTTTGATATGCATAAAAAAAAGACAAAATGTTTCATTGTTACTTTCTAGAGTTTGTTTTCCCTTGAAATTGAAATACAATGTATTGCATTCAGTGTTGTCACTGGACCCCAACACTACTGCATAGATGGTATCAAAGAAAGACAGTTTCTTTTTCTTACTCATTTTATTAGAGGAGAGGGACAGATATGGCAGCATGAATTCTAGGAGGTAGCGGGAGGAAGAACTTCAAGGAAACGCATGATACTCATTAACTTAGCATCCTTCTACATGTATTCTTAGCCAGTCTCTTGAACCTCAGTGTGAGAAGTTTATTGACTCTTGAAAATTCCTGCCACCCTCTAGTAACTTTCCATCATTTTGGACTTATATTCCAAATTTAGACAAAGGCAATCCATCGCTGTCAGAATACCACACCCATGAGGTAAATCAATCAGTCAGAATACCACAGTCATGAGGTATTCTGACAAATTGCTGACCATCCCAACCCAGCCACCGCATTCTGTAACAAGATTACACAAAATCAAAAGAAAATACTCTAACTGAAAATAAAATTGCAATACTCTCAAGTATGATACTAATTTGTACCTGAGTACAGTTTATATGTGCTAAGGAGTAGTAGATACAGTTTTCAATGACCTTGTGATATAGTAACACATGTCAATACAGCATCTGTGTATAAGCTTTAGATATTGCCACAATATGCTTCAGTGTGGTGAAAGAGTTCGGTGCAAGCAGGTAGTACACCATGGAAATGTGGATGTTTGTTCAATTAAAGCGATTTGGGAGTTGAACTGTGGGTCTTTGAGAAGCTGGATGATCATTTTGGAGAATTGTTGCACGTTGAAATGATGGTTCAATGGCATTACAATAGTGTTCAAAGTAACATTCCTACATACATAGAGCAGGTTCTGGAAAGCCATATAATTCTGACACTTGTCAAGATCATTATAAGAGCATCAGTGATAGACTGCACAGCATCCACAGTACAGATCAAAATATGACCTCAGCAGTTTTAACACAGACTTTGAAAATTAACTACTTGCATCAGGAATACAGGTCAGCATGCCTTTTGCCAGACATCCATTTACACCATATCATTGCACACACCTCCAGTGTTATTATGAACAGGTCACATAGGAGAATTGAATGGCAATCTGTACATTTCAACGATTAGAACTGGTTCTGTCTATGGTCATTTGCATGTTCAACAAAGATCTGAGGAGCAATATTTTCCAGAATACACAGCCCACCAAGCCTTTACATCATGATGTGGGAGGCCATAAGTGACAACACTCATTTATCTTTGCTGTTTGTAGAGGAAACATGGCAGGTCCAGCCTCATCAGATTGCAAAAATAGCAATTTTTTCAATTCTGGCATTTCCAGGTATTTGTAAAAATCAAACCAGTATAAAAGGTAACTGCTCAGCACTTTAATCCTTTACATTGTTTTTCCACTTAAGTCATTATTTATCTTCAGATAAAAGAGTTACATACTAAAATGCACAACCTGATGGATTTTCAAAGAGGACAAATGAAACGCTTTTTTACGCATATCAACAAATTGTGCATAAATTATGAATAAATAATGAATAAGGGTGGGCATATTTAAACTACTGCAGCAAAAGTAACATCAGAACTCATTACTCACTTAACCAATACAGTACATACATCAGGAGCTCCACAAAGCTGGTATCCACAGAAGGGCTACAATTCATAAACCTCTGATCACAAAGTCAAACACCAAGTTGAGAAAAAAATGGTATGATGATCACAAAAATTGAACCCTTGAGCAATGGAAAAACATTATTTGGTTTGATGAGTTATTTTCATGCTATTTCCTACAAACAGGCCTGTTTATTTATGGAGAAAACCACATGAAGCCTATGATCCAGATTGTACAGTCCCAAGTCAAACATGAAGGTAGCTCAGTAATGATTTGGGCAGAAATTTTCTGGTCTTCTTCTGGTCCTATCATCACTCTTAATTGTAGAATTACTGCATATAAATATTGCAACATTCTTAATGACAATGTCCTTACAATGGCTACCAAACTGTTGCTAGATAGTGTCATATTCCAAGATGATAAGGCATCCATACATACTGAAAAAAAATGAAGTCTTGGTTTGATGAGCATCATAACATAATTAAACATCTTCCATGGCCAACACAATCACTTGATCTCAACATAATTGAACCATTATGGAGAGTTGTAGAGCAGAGAGTGAGGAACAGTTTTCCTTCCCCAGCCTCACTGAAGCAACTTTCCGAGATTTTGATTGAAGAATGGAATAAAATTCCACTGGAAACAATTCAAAACTTACTTAATTCTATTCTAAAGCATTTTTAGAAGCTAACAAAGGTCCAAAACCTTATTAGTCAATAAAGGAATGTTCAAACCAGGTGTTCACATTATTTTGTATATATATATATAATGTTTATTTCTATAGAAATAATGGAATTTTATTTATTAATCTGACAGATTTTATCATTTTAAACACTATTTTTACTGGGTAGATTTGCATTAGTGACTCCATTTATTTTAAACCGTTTTTTTTATTCAAGAAATCTTATTAAAGAAAAATGCACCCTCTGGATAAGATTTCTCATATATTCAAGCTGGTAGACAAAATACTCTTTAAAATAAACAAAGCATCTACTAAAATATGGGTATCCACTAAAAATAACATTTAAAGTTATGACATCTGAGTACTTCTGATACAACTCTTATTTTGGAACCTATACTTGTATTGATTGTACTGTGGTCATATCCTGTAATCAAGCTATATTAGCTGTATATTTAATGCTGAATAAATTGAAACACATAGTAGGAAAATAAAATTACAACACTGTGTAGAGATCCAAAATCTTAAATCCAATTTTTAAAACTTTCCTATTCATATTTGTACTAACCACTTGTGTTTTTTTCTTTTAAACTTTAAAAAGATACAAGAAATAATTGAATTTTTAAGGCTTAAAAAAATATTCTCTTGAGTCAGATCTATACATTTGACCATGACTGTCTGATTTTTGGAGAGTGAGATAGACAATGAAATCAACTTATCAAGCAAAAATGGGTCTAAATTTGAATTAGTCCAGAACTTTAGAGGGTAATTTAATGTTATTTACATTAATTTTGATTTAATGTGATCTAAAATAATTAAAGACGTTACAAGGTAATTTACTTAAGTAAGTTTTATATATTGCAGTGAAGATTAATAATGGTTAGTGTGATTCATTTTTAACATTTCAAAAGATGGTTAGATTTTTAAAGTATTATGCTAATATTTTTTCTTCTTCATCCTAGAAGTGATTAAAAATATTACTTAAAAAAAATAACTTAAAACAAAAAAAAGTTTAGCATCTTTAAGTAAAAAAAATAGATGG